GAGGGAGTTTCCTCAGCTGGAGGGATCCAGCCTGACCACAGACTGCGGCTGGGGCTGCATGCTGCGCAGCGGACAGATGCTGCTGGCGCAGGGGTTACTGCAGCACCTCATGCCTCCAGGTCTGATCTACTGTCCCATTTCTTTATTTGTACCTAAATCCTTACTGAAAAACCAATTACTTTTATTAAATATAAATAGTCACAATAAACAATGGTAGTTAAAAGGTTTTTTGTGGGTCTTAAAAAGTCTTAATTCACCCTTCCATAAATTAGGGCCTTACAAATGTCTTAAATCAGAGCAAAAAGCCTTAAATTCATAAAGTCGTGGCATTAAATATTGCATGCACTTCTTCTTCAGTATTTTTGTCTTGTTTTCCAGTACAAATATCTAAACATCCTTAAATCAGGATACATTTACTGAAGTAGCAAAATAAAGATATGAAGTCTTGTTTACTTTAAGTCTTAAGAAATTAAGACTTTACACTTTTGATTTTACACTATAGATAACAAATACAGGTCAATGGGTTTTGAATTAAGCTTTGACCTAAGTTGATTTTTCTGAGCCCATTGGCAGATATTTGTTCTGGCTTTATCATAAACTCACTTTATTTTTATCTTTTTCTTTAGAAAACAAGACTTTTATCATTTTGCATCTCAGGTAAATTTATCTTGATTTAATAATAATTTGGGATTTATTTTTTAAATTACTTAATGGAGATTGGGAGGAAGTTGCATTTGGAAATTTTAAGTGTTGCTAATACAACTCATCATCTTTCTCCCTAGACATTTACATTTAGTGAACATATTGACGTGTTTCCTTCACTTTATTCCTTAAATTGTCTTTACTTGGTCTTAAGAAGGCCTTTAAAAAGTCTTAAATCCAACTTTATAAAACTTGCAGAAACCCTTCGTTAAGTAATATAATCCATTAGCGCTTTAATATATATATATACTATTGTTCAAACGTTTGGAGTCTGTAAGATTTTTTTAATGTTTTTGAAAGAAGTCTCTTTTGCTCTCCTATGCTGCATTTATTTGTTCAAAAATACAGTCAAAACCGTAATATTGTTAAATATAATAATATTAAATAACTGTTTTTAATGTGTTATATAATGTAATTTATTGCTGTGATCAAAAAGCTGAATTTTCAGCATCATTACTTCAGTCTTCAGTGTCACATGATCCTTCAGAAATCACTCTAATATGTTGTTTTGCTGCTCAAGAAACTGCTGATTATTATCAGTGTTGAAAATGCACAAATGAAGAATGTTTTGATTCTTTGAGGATTCGAAAGTTCAAAAGAACAGCATTCGTTTGATATTGATGAAACATTATAAATGCCTTTACTGTCACTTTTAATCAATTTAATGTATGCTTGCTGAATAGAAGTATTTATTTATCTTTAAAAAAATTTCACTGACCCCAAAGTTTTACACAGTAGTGTGATTCACTTCTGTAGACTCATGCTGTCTTCTGCTCTCTATATCTCAGACTGGAGGTGGGCGGATTGTCATCCGCTGACAGACGTTGATTTTGAGGTGCTAAAGCCTCGCTCGCCTTCCCGTCCGGCTGGCATGTCTCTTCCGTCCTTCAGTTCTTCCTGGACCAGCCCCATTTCCCAGAGAGACCCGAGCTCTGGCAGCAGTGAGGATCACAGGCGGACCCCGGCCCGATGTCCTGCAGCCAGCCATGAGCCTCAGCTGGAGGCTTTGCACCAAAAGGTGGTGTCTTGGTTTGGTGACCATCCCTCAGCTCCTTTTGGTGTCCACCAGCTGGTAGAGCTAGGAAAGGAGTCGGGGAAGAGAGCGGGGGACTGGTACGGCCCGTCTGTAGTGGCACATATGCTGAGGTTAGAGGAGAGAAAATGAATCTTATCATATTTAGATTTAAAAGCTTCTTTTGAATAACTGAACTTTTGACCTTTTGTGATTTTAATGTCTTTTTTTCCACCAGAAAAGCAGTGGCTAGAACCACTGAGTTTCACAACCTGGCTGTATACGTGGCACAGGACTGCACGGGTGAGGCTTCATGTTCAGTCTTGTGGGTTGTGCGTCATGCGATCGTTTTAAATCAGATCAGTTAGTGAAACTGAAACCGTTTCCTGTACATGTCTGTAAGTGATGTTTAGCTCATGCTTCTGCTTCTGTGTGTGCTGCAGTGTATAAAGGAGATGTCATGAAGTTGTGTGAGTCGCCGCTAACACAGGAGCTGTCCGAGAGCTGGAAGTCAGTCATCATTCTAGTGCCGGTACGGCTGGGAGGAGAATCGCTAAACCCCTCCTACATTGAGTGTGTTAAGGTACAAATACACTAACACCTGTGTGGGGGGAAAAACTGAATTTAAATATATAAATCACTTTGCAAACTGGTCAAAACAGATATTATATTATATTTTTATTAATATTGTAATAATGACATTGTTGTATATTGGACACCCATTTTGGTGTCTGCATCAAAATAAATTTACTAAAGTGATTTTATATACATAAAAAGCATATTATATACAAGTAAAGTGTCTACTTTAACGGTTCAAAAACTTTTGTGAACATAAAATGTCAAAATATGGGTGAAAATGTTTCATCATCATTCAGCATAACATATATTTATGTAAAAATGAAACAACATTTATATATTATATTATATTATATTATAAAAATTATATAAATTGTGAATCACAATTATTTTTGTGACAATTAATCGTCACAAAATTCATGATGAGACACACACATATTAAGTACATATAATATATTACATTTATATTTTATTTATACTAACCTCTCTTTTCCTAGAATATTCTCAAGTTAAAATGCTGTATAGGAATTATTGGAGGAAAACCCAAGCATTCCCTGTTTTTTATTGGCTTTCAAGGTACGTGTCTATTAAGAATAGTGCTGTCAAACGATAAATCACGATTAATCCATCCAAAATAAAAGTTTTTGTTTGCATAATATATGTGTGTATACTGTGTATATTTATTATGTATATTTAAATACAAACACATGCATGTATATAACATATTTTTCTTAAATATATACATGCATGTGTGTGTTTTTATATATACATAATAAATACACACAGCGCACACACGTATATTATGTAAACAAAAACTTTTATTTTGGATGCGATTAATGGTTTGACAGCACTAATTAAGAACTATGTTTTGATATGTTACTGCGTTCCTGTCTGCTGTCTGATTGGCAGCTCTCTGTCTTCCAGACGAGCAGCTATTGTATCTAGACCCACACTACTGTCAGCCAGTGGTGGACGTCACCCAAGGCAACTTCTCTCTGGAGGTGAGATGGAAAGCAACATTACATTTGCATCAGAAGACATTTTCATTTTGAAGTTTTGACCATGTGTGAGGAACTGAAGCTGCATCGGTCTTTTCTCTCGTAGTCTTTTCACTGTAACTCGCCTAGGAAGATGAACTTTAGTCGTATGGATCCCAGCTGCACCATCGGATTCTACGCGCAGACTAAGAGAGACTTTGAGTCTTTGTGCTCAGCGGTCAGTGAAGTGAGTGTCTTGTTTGAATCAATAAGATATATGTTTCTTGGAATGAAAAAATTGAAATTTGTCTTTGTTCACTGAATGTACAATGTGCGAATTAATGGCGCAATTTACATTTTTGATACTTTGATACTTTTGTGAAGCCATTTCGGAATGAATGCATAAATATCAAGAAGCTGAAATAAATACTATGATATATTTTTTCAAATATGGATATTATTTTTTGTTCTTTTTCAGGCTTTGTCATCCTCTAAAGAGAAGTATCCCATCTTTACATTTGTAGAGGGCAGGGGACAGAACTATGGACTGGAGGGGCAGAGCGGGGGGTCCATGGACGGTCCTGCAAACATTTTCTCATGCAACAGAATGAGCAGGAACAATAAGAGAGGAAGCACAGATGAGTTTGTGCTCCTGTGAGGAGCGTATCGCATGTAACACAGACCCGACACCAGTGATGCTGCACCCAACTTCATAAAACTGCTGTTCCTCACATCTGTGCACTGCAGAATATAAAGCAAACCTGGCACTGAGATTCTCAAGAAAACCTGTGCGAGTCATGTTTCACCACAAAACCAAAGGAAAACTAAGAAATTATGTTTTGCATAAAGAAAACGTTGCATATTTTTAGAACTTTGTTGTGATGTTATTTTCATGACAGTTAAGCACATTTTCCTCCAATTGATCATTAACATAAAGCCAAAAACCTTTTGTTCTCGATGCTGTAATGTAAAAAAGCTATATTATTTGAATTGTAATGTGTTTTTGCACTACCTTTAACTGATCTAATTTGTATTTAAAAAATTGTTGCTTTTGATTATTGCATTACAGTATTAGCATGTTTTTGCATTACATTCATGAGAATTTTGAGAGGAAATATGCTTAATTATCAGTGTGAAAATGTAATAATTCTAAAAAATAAGGTTAGCTTTCTTAATGCATAATATAATTTTGGGGTGACACCTGCACTTCTTTGGTAAACTTCTCCATCGATGTGACATTTGTTCATGAATGGATGCGAAGCATTTTCTATCATTGCATTTTATTCTGCTGATTTAGCCACATTAAAGGAATAGCTCAACCAAAAAGGAAAATTTAGCTTTAACTTAATTTGAACAGATTTGGAGAAATTTTAATGAAAAGCTGCATGACGAGGCAAATTTGTCACTGGAGGAAGCAAAAAATTATGGATTATGGGCTCATATTTTGGCCACAAGCAACAGTCTAAAGATAAAATACCTTAGTAATGGATTTGTTTCTTACAAACACACAGCTTTTTGCTTCACAAGATGTTAACTGATGGACTGGAGTGGTGTGGATTATTGTGATGTTTTTATCAGTTGTTTGGACTCTCATTCTGACGGCACCCATTCACTGCAGAGGATCCATTGGCAAGTGATGCAATGTTACATTTCTCCAAATCTGTTCTGATGAAGAAACAAACTCATCTACATCTTGGATGACCTGAGGGTGAGTCAGTTTTCAGCAAATTTTCATTTCATTTTTTCATTTACTTCAGGTTGAAGTATTCCTTTAACATGTATATAACGCATACACACTAACATTTTGTCTCATACACTGAACACATGATCCTGCTGTTGTGTCTCTGTCTTTAAGAAGGTACAGGGTGCTCTAAGTTTGTTTGTTTTCTGAGTCTGCTCTATAACAGAGCTGGAGGGATTGTGGGTAGTTATGACAATGAGTAAACCTCCTTGTTGCTGTATGATATGGTTGGTTTTCTAAGTTGTGTAAATTGTAAATCTCTCAGCTTGTGTGCTTGAACTGGGTGTGTTTTTGTTTTAAATCATTGTGCTTCATTTGTCACCAGTTTACAGCTTTCTCTTATTTAATTGTATATTTTTTACAGGGAATCACAGCCGTAGTACCTCCTCGAGCTCCAGAAGTTGTGCGGCATTGAGTCTGATGCTGGAAGCTGTCTGAATATTTGATGTCTGATTTGCTTTTGCTTGTTCAGGTCAACAAAATTAGCTGTTACTGTTCAATTTTATTTAAGCTGTTAATTTTATTTTTACAACTTGTATTTTTGATCATCGTTCTGAAGATGCACCGGATGAAGCTGAACTGCTGTCACTGTTTGAACAATCGTTTTTTTTAATAATTGTAGATTTTTCATTGTGTATCTTTTGTCTTTGGACTCTTTCCTGGACATGGGACCAGTGGACGAGAGATTATGTGGACTTTTGTTTATTGTGGACTTTTTTTTTTTTTCGGAATTGGAAGATGGAAATGATCAAGTAAATGTAAGAGAGAAGTAAATTGGTTATAATGCCACAATTGTCGTCACTGAGTATATGACATTCAAATAACTAAGTATTTTTAAAACTACAGTTTTTGACCTGATATTTGAGTGCATCTTGGTACCATTGAGCAGGAACGCTACTGTCATGTTTGTTTGTTTTTTAACAAAAGTGTGTCAAAAATAGAACAAATATGATGAAATTAGTGAGATATATGTGACCCTGGACCACAAAACCAGTCATAGGTAGCACGGGTATATTTGTAGCAATAGTCAAAAATACATTGTATGGGTCAAAATGATCGATTTTGCCAAAAATCATTAGGATATTAAGTAAAGATCATGTTCCATGAAGATATTTTGTAAATTTCATACCATAAATATATCAAAACTTATTTTTGATTAGTAATATGCATTGCTAAGAACTTCACTTGGACAACTTTAAAGGCGATTTTCTCAATAATTATTTTTTCTTCGCACCCTCAGATTCCAGATTTGTCCAAATAGTTGTATCTCGGCCAAATATTGTCCTATCCTAACAAACCCTACATCAATGGAAAGCTTATTTATTTAGCTTTCAGATAATGTATAAATCTCAATTAAAAAAAAAAAAAACCCTTCTGAATGGTTTTGTGGTCCAGGGTCACAAATGGTGTAAAAAGCTTTTATTTTGTACCTGTCTATAGGCTTTAGTCGCGGACTTTTATTTTGAAGAGGTGTGAAGGGCAGGGCGCTGACTTCCGCCTGGCAGAAGACGGCGGGCGCTGGCGCTGAGATCAGGGCGGATTCACCGAGTCTGGAGAAACATGGACAGTCAAGGCAGGAAAGTGGTGGTGTGTGACAACGGGACCGGGGTGAGTGTGACTGCGGAGCTCATACGGCTCGCTCCGGTCTGCCTGATGCTTTATTTCGCGGCTGTGTGTGCTTTAATGACGGCTTGCAGGAGAAAGATGCAGCGGAACAGGAAGTGATCTGATGGCACCTTATTTTACACTGATTATTTGTGATTTACACACGACCCGTGATGTGGAAAAAACTCTGGTCGCATGCACGGAAATCATAGATCGGGACTGATTATAAATGGGTTTGCATGGGGGTGTTTTGTGGAAGCTTTGTATATGTATTGACACAATGGACATTCACACATATTGATATTTTAACGAGGTCGCAGAATGAGCAAGCATTATTTATGAAATTAGATGTTTATGCGCATTTATATCAATGATGCATGTGGTTTTCTGTCAGTAAAAGGAAAGGTTATGATGATCTCAAACTCACTTCCGAGTTTGTAGTCTCGCATCTGGCCGAGAGAGGAAGTGACATACGAGAAACACATGCCTTCATCATTCTCTCTCTGTCTGGGGATAAATGCTAATGAAATGGTACAGCAAGGAACTCCAAACTTCATGTTGTGGTACATATCCCGCAGTACCATGGTATTAGCATAATACATGTTCAGAAAACACGATGTGGCCTGATAAATGTCCAGAACTCTATGGGAACTGATCAAAAATGCATGGCATTGTCATAATACGTGTTTACATTCCGTATTAAGTGTACACAAAATTGCCTACTTATTTATATTATTAAAATTACCCTAGCACCTTCCAAAACACACAAAAAATAATGTGTTTATTTTAACCTGAACATTAGTGGAGATATATCAGTGCATTTATTCTGCCGTGTGTCGTTTTATATTTATGCATGACAGCCGGTTAAACGCGTTGTTTGTCATGAAGTGCACACTAATCTCGGGCCCTTCCTGTTCAATTTCCAAAAGCATCTTCATCCTTTTTTTTAATAGCTAGTGATCTAACTTTCTGTCTTTCTTTCTTTCAGTTTTTCCGTTTTAGTAACTTTAGTACGTGTTTTCAATAACTAGTGTTCTAACTTTCTATCTTAATATTTTGAGCTTATATTTTTATATTTTCAGTTTTCTTTTTTTTTATTTTAGTTTTGCTAAGTTTGTGCTTTTGTCATTTTATTTATTTATTTATTTGTATTTCAGGTTTAGTCATCTTAGTACTTCAACATATTTATTTCTGTTAGTTGCCAAAGCAACATTTAATGTTTTTCATAACTCTCTGTCTGTCTGTCTTTCATTCATTCAGTTTGTGAAGTGTGGATATGCTGGCTCTAATTTCCCAGAGCACATTTTCCCGGCTCTGGTGGGGAGACCGATCATCCGCTCCACAGCCAAAGTGGGAAACATCGAGATCAAGGTAAAGGTTCCTCACTAAACTGCACCCTAAATCTTTCCCTACAATGACACCATGACTTGGGCTCTGTCCCAATCACCCAGTGAGCTGCCTTACTTTATACACCCTACAGCTGCATCTGTGTTGAAATGCAACCCTCACAACAAGTAACTAAACAGTTCATTTTTAATTAGATGAACCTGCATTATAATGATGCTTTGAAATGCTACCTATGTAGGTCGTTCAGTAGATTTTGTATCAGAGGTTGTAAATTGTCATTCTAAGGATTTCAAAGAAACACTATGATGGTCATATTTGGTAACGGGACATAAACAGCAACTTGAGTAACTTCCTGCTTGACTTGAACTTCCTGCAGAGTCGTTTTCACTGGGGGTGGAGCTGCTATGAGAGGGTTTACAGGTTCCTCTGACTGAAATATTCATCTTTGTTGTCATTTCAGAAGAAATATTGAGATATGTATTTATTATTGTCAAAAGACTGAAAAAATATTAAATGAGATTGTTTTAGCCATATCACCTCAGTGTACTGTAGTGTTGATCCTGGACACTTTTTTTTAACCTTAAACACATTTTTTTTTTAAATACTACATTAATTAGAAATAGATATATTTCTAGACAAAGGTCTTTCAGCTGATGAACCATGCAGGTGAACAGGTTTTTATAAAAAAGGATATTTACTAAATGTTGTGTGAACAGTACACTTTGTTTTCTGAAAAAATGTTTTGTTTAGGGATGCACGACATATCGGCCACCATATCGGTATCGGCCGATAAATGCTAATTTTTTCAACGTACACCGTTCAAACTAGGCTGCTTACGTTGAAGTGTTTGGGATGTGGCTTTTAATGATGAGACCTTTTTTGTAATCAGGCTCTCAAAAAGTATATAACAATTTGGATATAGATTTATCGGCCAACATATCGGTTATCGGCTTTCAAAAATAAAGAATAATCGGTTATCGGTATCGGCCAAAATTTTCATATCGGTGCATCCCTAGTTTTGTTCTTAGGCAAATAAGACATCATAGCATGTAGTACAGCTGATATTTATTAATATATCAATAAATTGAGTACAGAATAAAATACTTTCTTAAAAATGAACAAAAACCTTCTACTGGTGTGTTACAGTGGTTACAACAGATCAAGTACTAAGAAATATTTTTTCAAACAACTGATTGACAAGACAACAAATTAAGAGAATTAATGTTAACTAATTTAATTGATGCATTTAAAATCATTTTAATACAATTATTTTTAAAAATAACAATTCCCCACATATACTGATTTCCTTTAGATTTACATTAAGAATTTTTATTTTAATGATTTTTTATTTTTTTTCATAAATAGGACTTTTGTATGGAGGACAAGTTTGGTCCTTTACTTCAAGCATCAGTGCGCTAACATTTGCTCTCATTGCTCATCGCCTGTTCCCTCTGTATTTGTCCATCTCTCCTCTGTTACTGTATTGAGGTACTGTAGGATTATAGGAGGATGGTAAGTGTGTGTGTTAGTGTGTGTGTGTGTGTGTGTGTGTGTGTGTGGGTTGTGAGTCTAACCTGTAGCGATTCTCTCTCCAAACCCTCTCAGGAGATGCAGAGGAGATGATTATTGTATTAATGTTCAAACTAATCATAAATCTCGTTCTCTCACTAACCCTGATGAAATGATATTGCTTGTATGTGTCAGTGTTTGACATTACCCAGAATGCACTGGTCTGTACAGAATGTGCACAGAGTGTGCTGTGTCCAAACAGAATATACAGGGTTCATGGTCATAGAAAGCCAGGAAATGTCAGATTAGAAGTGTGTTTTTAACACCTGAAAATTTCTATAATAATATTTAATTATGATTAAAAAAAAAAATATGGGAGCCAGTCTTGTTTTAGTATTATTTAAAAAATGTATTATTAATATTTTGAATTAGATTTTATTTTTATGCTTTCAGCTTTTATTTTAATTTTAGATGACGTTTTAGTAACTTTTATGTGTTTTTGTAATTTCTGTTCTGTTTTTTTTTCTATTAGTTTGCTTTTGTAATATCTTTTATTTTATTACAGTTTAAGTAATTTTAGTACGGAAATTTCAGTTGCCGATGCAAGATTTGTGATTTTCATGTAAGTTTCTTACATTTTTCTTCTATTATCTATCTTTTTGTTTTATTTCAGCTTTATTTCAATTTACAATTTTAGTTTACATTTACAACACTGATGGGAACCCTGGTTGTGTTTTCATTCAACAGCTTTCTCTCTAGTTACAGCCGGTGTGACCCATTTACTCACTTTTAATGACTGTATTGCAGTGCTTTTAATGTCTTTGCTGTCAGATTCATGAGTAAACTCATCAGTGTGCTTCATAAAAAACATTGACTTTTATTTTGAAAATCTGGTGCAGTGAAGTTTTTTTTCCCAGTTGTCTCCAGCTCCATTCAACACATTTAATTTCTCTCAAACTGGACAGCTTCCGTTCAGCTCGAACTGAAAGTTACCATTGAGCATCCTGACCTTTGACCTCTCTTGTGTGACCTGTAGGACCTGATGGTGGGCGACGAGGCGAGCGAGCTGCGCTCCATGCTGGAGGTGAACTACCCGATGGAGAACGGGATCGTGAGGAACTGGGACGATATGAAGCACCTGTGGGACTACACTTTCGGCCCCGAGAAGCTCAACATCGACTCCCAGAACTGCAAGATCCTGCTCACAGAGCCGCCCATGAACCCCACCAAGAACCGAGAGAAGATCATCGAGGTTTGAGCGCCCGTTTGTTGAATAACATCTGTGAGGAATCCTCAGTGAGGTTTGTGTTTGTGATTTTTGACCATCTTGTCTCCCTGTAGGTGATGTTTGAGACCTATCAGTTCTCAGGCGTTTATATCGCCATCCAGGCCGTGCTTACTCTGTACGCTCAAGGTAAGGAAACCTTTAATGATGAGAAAATATATACATTTAAAAAGAATATACAGTGGTGTGAAAAAGTGTTGGCCCCCTTCCTGATTTCTTATTTTTTTGCATGTTTGTCACACTTTAATGTTTCAGATCATCAAACAAATTTAAACATAACATGCAAAAAAATAAGAAATCAGGAAGGGGGCCAACACTTTTTCACACCACTGTATATATAATAAAATTAAATAAAATAACAAATAATAAATATACAATTAAATTAACAATAATAAATATGTAATGATATACAATATTATATAATAAAAAAAACAAGAACTCGGTGCTAGACGTGACGAGCTGATGTTTGTGTGCAGGTCTGCTGACGGGTGTGGTGGTGGACTCTGGAGACGGTGTCACTCATATCTGTCCAGTGTATGAAGGTTTTTCTCTTCCTCATCTCACGCGGCGTCTGGACATCGCCGGACGCGACATTACACGCTACCTCATCAAGGTACAGTCCTGTAGATGCTCTGTCTCAGCTGCTGACCGTTTACATGCACATATTTTTGTCTGAATCTGAATCGCTTCAGTCCAACTGAGCATTTCTAATGCAATGTTAATGCATCTAGTGTAAATATTACAATATCAGTAGGGATGTAACGATTCACTCAACTCCCGATTCGATTCACGATTTTTTTTTTAACAAAATTAGATCAGATTCACTCTCTGCCAGCAGGTGGCGCTTAAAGCGTTTCCTTGGTTTCCGCTGTAAACAAAGCAGCGCTGCACTTATGAACTTTAATATGCATTATACAGAGGCAAGATAAAAAGAAAAAAATACCATCTAAACTTTTCTAAAGACAGTAAGTTCCCTTCAGACATACTTTCATATAAACTCCTACACCTAAATGAATCGCGATTTGTTTAGCATCTCAACCGATTTGAATCGTCACATATTTGAATCGATTTTCAACCGGCTCGTGTATCTGTGAGCCTTGTGAGTCCTGACTGAGAAAGCAAACGGCTCAACATGTCAATCAGCAAGGTTGCCTTTCTAGCATAGATAAAATATAAACTTTTTTTTGCACATTTCTCATTTTACTTAAAGGTGAAGTATGTTTTGTTTTTCAGTGTTAAAGTGTAACACTTTCTTCTATCAGAAAAAGTAATTATGCAGAGTCAGCCATTGTTATTTTAGTATCATTTATATACAATTATAGTTCTTTTTATCATATCATATGTTTGTGTGTGTGTGATTAGCTTTTTCATTTTCGGCTGTCATTTTAATCTTAAGTTACATTTTTGTCATTTGAACAATTTTGTTATGTGCTTTTATTATTTCTATTAGTTTATTTCTATATATTTCTATTTTAAGTTCAGTTTTAGTTTGTTTTATGAGCTTATTTCAGTTAGTTGTCAATGCAACACTTTTAATTTTCAATTAGTTTTAAGTTTTTCATGTAATATTTGAATTCTATTACAACTTTATTTCAATTAGAAAAAGAAAAGAATTGTTTTTGATGTAGTTTCCACGGACAAATGTCCAGACTGAATCTTAACGCTCTCCGTCTCTCTCCAGCTGTTGTTGTTGAGAGGTTATGCCTTCAATCACTCAGCGGACTTCGAGACGGTGAGGATGATGAAGGAGAATCTGTGTTACGTGGGCTATAACATCGAGCAGGAGCAGAAGCTTGCGCTGGAGACCACCGTGCTGGTGGAGTCCTACATGGTGAGTTCAGCCTGATGGAGCTTCATTAACCCATAAGCTCTGTTCCCAAAACTAGTCAGCATTTAAAGCTATCATAAACCCTTTAAAAGCTAGACTGGATCCCCCCAATGAGCCTCCAGACAGCAGCCTTGTTCTTGCCACCAGAGGGCAGCAGAGTGTTGTGTAAATGTAACTCTTTGAGAGCGTCAGCGGTGTTTACAGTGGGAGCGTTCACACTCTTTCTCACTGGGTTTGTAGCTGCCGGATGGTAGGGTGATTAAAGTGGGTGGCGAGCGGTTCGAGGCTCCGGAGGCTCTGTTCCAGCCTCACCTCATTAACGTGGAGGGAGTGGGTGTGGCTGAACTGCTCTTCAACACCATCCAGGCAGCCGACATTGATACCAGGTCAGTTTAAATATTCCTATTTATATACTCATTTAGCAGACGCTTTTATCCAAAGCGACTTACAAATTAATCCTATTCAGAATAAAAAAAAAGAATGAAAAGATTCTGTTCCTATTGCACATTCAATATTAATATAGAAGAGTATGTTGTATTATAAAATGCATCTTATTATACATTTATATTTCTATCTTTATCTGTTACGATATATAATGTTTATATGCAAGTCATTTTTTTGGTGATTTACTGTTTTCTACATAAAATCATCCGTCATTAAGGTAAAGAACATTCTGTGAAAATGTAACACTGATATCTTTAATATTTGACTGAGTAAGACCTTGTCAAAGATTGAAATCATAGTGAAATTAATGGTTGAAATCAAACTTTGATGCTTGTTATCTCATAATTAGATTTTGAGACTTTAACCTGTATTTCACAGAGAGGGCCACATATATTATATAATGTAAAATAAAAATTAAATGTATACTTTACACATTATACCTTTATCTGTTATATATTGTCAAATAATTTAATACTATTTTATCAGTTTTTGTGTCCTTTTGCATACAAATTGTGTAATATCTTTTAAAAAATAGATTAAAAAAAACATTTTAAATTGTTTAAAATACTAAACAATATATATATATATATATATAATTATTGTACATTATAGTTGTATAATTATAAATGTTATAATATTTTAATAATGCTAAAACTTAATAATAATATTATAATTATTATCTTTATTTTTATATCTTTATCTCTTACAATATATTTATATATTATAACATTTTTAAATATTACTTATGACATATCTTTATTATATATTGTCATTATAGTTTGACGTTATTATCATTATTATTATCTTTATATTTGTATCTTTATCTGTTAATATATATATTTATGTATATGTGTTTGTGTGTGTATGTGTATATATATATATAATTGTAATTTAAAGTATTATGCATTACATATTTCTTTATCTGTTACATATATTGTGCCAAATATTATCTTATTTTTGTCTTTTGTTTGTCTCAGACTGTGTTTTACAAAGCATCATGTAATATTTTTTAAAAATATAGAAAATAACTTAAATGTTTAAATCTTTGAAATACTAGACATGTTGATAATAAATTATTACTATAATATTGTCAGTATATCATATATATTTGTATGTGATATTCACACGTGTTTGTCTCTGTCAGGGCTGAGTTTTACAAACACATCGTTTTGTCGGGCGGTTCTACGATGTATCCTGGTCTGCCGTCTCGTCTGGAGCGTGAGCTCAAGCAGCTCTACCTGGAGAGAGTGCTGAAGGGAGACGTCGACAAGCTCTCGGTACAAACAACACTTCTTTAACCACAACTAACCTGTAATACAGACTTAGACCATCTCTAGGATGTAGGTGGTGATATTCACCTCTAACTTACTAGTTAGCAATGTTGCAATTCCTTCAGCAGTATTTGAGATTATCTATGGACTGTCATGTCAGAAATTAACTTCCTTTATTAGGGGGAACTTCCCCTGAAATTGGGACATTTTTTTTTTCTTTCTGGGGGCATTTTTTTCTAACCATGTAAAAGGTCACTGTGATGTTTGCAGATGCACTAAACTGATAACTAGATAGGTCTACTACAATAAAATATAATCAAATGTTAGCTATATTAAAATGGATGAACCCCTACTGGAGCATTTTTGCCTCCAAATTATGAAGTTTGTTGGATCTCCAGGGTTATTATAGTTGCTAAACTAAATTAACTAAATTAAAAAGCTTTGTTACTTAAAATAGAGTAAACATTAACTGAAATCAAATAAAATGTGTAAACTAATTTTATTTTATTTCTCATTTTCATTTACTAACTTGTACTAAGATAACTAAAAACCGAAGTAAACATTCATAAACTATACAGGCATATTTGTGACCCTGGAGCACAAAACCAGTCTTAAGTCGCTGGGGTATATTTGTAGCAATAGCCAACAATACATTGTATGGGTCAAAATTATTGATTTTTCTTTTATGCCAAAAATCATTAGGACAATAAGTAAAGATTATGTTCCATGAAGATATTTTGTAAATTTCCTACCATAAATATATCAAAACTTAATTTTTGATTAGTAATATGCATTGCTAAGAACTTAATTTAGACAACTTTAAAGGTGATTTTCTCAATATTTAGATTTTTTTGCACCCTCAGATTCCAGATTTTCAAATAGTTGTATCTCGGCCAAATATTGTCCTATACTAACAAACCATACATCAATGGAAAGCTTATTTATTCAGCTTTCAGATGATGTATAAATCTCAATTTCGAAAATTGACCCTTATGACTGGTTTTGTGGTCCAGGGTCACATTTAAGAAAACAATAACTAATAAAAAAAATAGCACAACTAAAACTTTACATTTAAACTGAAAATGGAAAATATACAAATAAAAACTAATTACAAATATACATGAAAACTAAAATAGTATGTTGATACTAAACAAAACAGGCGATTTCTAATCCTGCTGTAGTTTTGAGTTTTATAATGTAATGATTTCATGCATTGTACAGCATTGCTGTTTTACTGAATGCGTCTTCGCTTCTGCTTTTGTAGAAGTTTAAGATCCGCATCGAGGATCCTCCACGCCGTAAACACATGGTGTTTTTGGGCGGAGCGGTGCTAGCCGACATCATGAAGGACAAAGACAACTTCTGGATGACCAGAGAGGAGTACCAGGAGAAGGGCACACGCGTTCTGGAGAAGCTGGGGGTCACCGTTAGATAAATCACACACACAACATTGCACTCACACTCCCAGTCACAGGGTGGCATTTTGGCAGTGTAAACACACAAAGGTTTTCTTCAGTTTATGAGGATATACTTGAGAACAATGGTATTCAAATACTTGAACATCTTTGCAATCCAAAAAAAGAGTGCTTAATGTTTGTACGACATTCCAAATGTAAAGATTCATATCACCGCTGCACAGCACGAGACAAAAATTTAATGAAATCGTTTATGCTGCCAAAATTAATCCTCAAACGATCCCTCATGTATCCCCATATCGTGACCTGTCCGTCTTATGACTTCACATTGACCCTAAAAAAAAGAGTAAGAAACAGGAGGATGTTGTGTAAGTAGAGGGACAAAACAATAAAAAGATGTATTTTTAAGAAAAAAAAACCTTCTTTGGTAATAAAATTGTTTTCGTAGTAAGAATAAAAATCGCTGCAGCCAATTTGCTAATAAAAAAAAAAAGCAGAATATAATTGTGGCCAATAGTATCAAACACAAAGACGTACGTCTAAATGCAGATTGCTTTTGCTGAAACGTCTACTTTCTTTCTTTAACTTCCCGTGATGACTTTCTCTGGCTTTAATCTCAGCATCTGCGCACTCCATTATTGGATGCCCTGAAAATAGAGAGAGAACAAATGCAGTAGCGACCGGGTCCAACTTCTCCAAATAGCATTTAACAGAACATCTGAAGAGCGTGTTTCTGTCAAACAATGTCGCTGAGGATGCTTTGAATGCACTCGTGATGAGCAGCGTCTCATTTTAGTCGTGAAAATTGGTATTTGGAAGTCTTTACGTATAGACTCTCTGTTCATGTCATTCCGCCTGCAGTTCCAGGATCAGTTTAAGGGACCTTTGTAAAAAAACAGAATGAATATCAGACTGCATTTGAAAGGGAAGTGATAACGTTCTGCTGCATGTTTCGCGTACAATCGAGAGCCTCGTTTCCGCATCTAGCTGAAATGTGTGTGGGTCACGTTTACACTGCAAAATCAAAAGAAAGTAACAAGGAGTTTTCTTTTAAAGAAACGCTAACTTTTTTTTTTGTATTGTGACATTATTTTCATTACATTTTAGCACTATTGTTTCTTAAATTCTCATTACCGCAATGCTGAAAAAAAATCATTTGCATTACCATAATGCAGAAAAATCCCTCATTTTTATTTCCATAATGCAAAAAAGAAACCTTTTACTCACTGAAATTTGAATAAATAATGTATTGTCATTAACATAATGCTTTTTAAAATTGGTTAGGTTTTGTTGTACTGTATTTTATGCAGATTTAAATTTAAAAGTAAATCATTGAGTATTTGTATTGTAATACACTAAAAATGACAGTAATGCGAATATAATTAGATTGACCATCCTGTAGGATAAGAGGAAGTCAAATGTCCAGGGTTGTGTTGTGGTAATGAGAATATTGAAGATGACTCTTTAATTTGTTACGAAAGTAATGTCGCAATGCAAAAAGCTTTATGATACTAAAAGAGGAGGATCAAATGTAATTCTGATTGCTTTAATTTTTTATTTTGGAGTGAGTTTTTGTGAGATTCACACACGGAGAATCGGCCTTAAAACATCAGCAGTGCGTTTAGTCGTTGCTCATGCATGTCACACATGTGCATCATCCATCCATCACTTCACTTAGCGCGTCGCTCATTCCATTGCAATAACCCTGCATCCTTTTCATCAGCTCATTCATTTAGTGTTCCAGTGAGTCGCAATGGTGCTTGAGTCTCACGATTGTTCTCTTTGCTGCTTTTTTTATGGTTTTGCGTTCATGTTTTTTCTTTGCTGTTGGTTTCATGTCCTAGTCGAGTTGCATCTAACAGTCTGGGAACGAAGGGCCTCGCTGACGCCCGACGGGTGTTTCTGGGTCATGCGCTTCATTCCCAGATCGTAGGCACCCGTGATGTAACGGTTTACTGCCTGTTTGTAATATGAATGACATAATAATGACGGTATTGTTAATGATGCTAATAATTTTAGTGTTTGTACTCGTGACAGCCGTTTGGAAGCTGGATCAGTGATGTTTCTATGTTTGTACACACTCACACATGGAACAAACTGTATATATTCACTCACGCATTCTTCCAGTGCCAAGTTTGGTTATTGTGGTCATTTTGTTTGTTTGTTTTCTGCTTTTTGGTTTTTGTTTTGTTTGTATTGTACTGCCAGACCACTGATTTAAATAAAGAAAATTGATTTATAACTCAACGGTTAAAGTGAGTCTTTTAAGCGGACTGAAGCCAGTGCTGTTTTGTGTGTCTATGTGTGTGTGTGTGTGTGTGTGTGTGTGTGTGTGTGTGTGTGTGTGTGTTACAGAGAGAAACAGTCGTTTTTCTTCATATGTGGCATGTAACTATGGAAGCACACAAGGAATTGCTGCCCATCTCTGTTACCATGGAGATGTGCTGTACACAAGCAGTGTCTTTTCTGTCTGTTCATCTCTTAGAGCTGTAATTTACAGTACCAGCCTCAGACACACATACTCATTATTTATTCATGCTAATATCCATATTTGCATAAGTTAATAAACATGCATTATCTGTCTATCTGTCTGTGTGTGTTTATGTATGTATGTATGTGTATACACACACATGCACACACTCACACACATATATTTATGTATTTATTTATATATATATATATATATATATATATATGTACACAAACGCACACTATGTCACAAAATGGTTAAATAATTCATGCAAACACCATCAAATAATTAATCCCCTTTATTTATTTATTTTTTGTCTGATAAGTAGTCATGTAACAGGCTTGATAATATATGGTCAACCAGTTACATCAAAATAATTCTGATCACTTTTTGCCATAATGATTGCTTGACTACATTATCTCTGAATATTAACATTGTATGCATATGTGCTTCTCCTTTTCATGACATTTTAGCTCTTTTTTTCCCTAAATCCTCATTACCGTAATGCTAAAAATATGAATTTCTCATTACCATAATGCAGAAAAATCCCTAATTTTGTTACCATTATGCAAAAAATTAAACCTTTCATTTATTAATTAATTAAAAAAATATATTGTCATTACCTTAACGCTATTTATTATTACTGTGTAGTATTAAATACTACATGGCAGGTTTTGTACTGTTTTATGCCGATTTAAAGGGGTCATATGATGCGATTTCAATTTTTCCTTACTCTTTGGAGTGTTACAAGCTCTTGGTGCATAAAGAAGATCTGTAAAGTTGCAAAGACTAAAGTCTCAAATCCAAAGAGATATTCTTTATAAAAGTTAAGAGTCAACTACGCCTACCTAAAACGGCTCGTTCTAACACGCCCCCACATATCTACGTCACCATGTGGGAAGATTTGCATAACACCGCCCAAATGTTCACGCAAAGAAAGAAGGCGTAACTTATTCTCGCTGTAGTATTGTTGCTGCCGCCATGTTGTGAAGGCGCTGTGTGTTTCGTTGTGAAAGAGGTTGTGGCCTTCCAAAAGAGGACGATATTGCTTCATCATGCCTAGGTCATTACACCAAATACACAAAATAATGTTCTTTTTAGCAACATCATATGACCCCTTTAAATAAAAAAAAATTAATAATAAATGAATTACAGTATACAATACACAAAAAAATTACAGTAATGAGAATCTAATAAGAATCAGCATCTTGTAGAATAGGAATGACAAAATGTCCAAGTATGTTACGGTAATGAGAGTTTACGAGATGAATGTGTGTAGTTGTCAAGAAAGTAATGGCACAACGCAAAAAAAAAACTTTATGATCCTAAAACGAGATCCTAAAATAATTTCTTAATGCTTTTCATTTTGATGCTGGGATCTTTGTGAGATTCACAAAAGGAGAATTGGCCATAAAACGTCTCAGGTTACTTATGTAACCATGGTTCCCTGAGTAGGGAACGAGACACTGTGACGACGAGGTGTTCCCCATAGCGACCCCTAGAGGACGCAGTTCGAAGTTCCCATGAAAGGGAACTGAGTCTCTTTCTGTCTCTTGGGTCTGGGCTGGGGTAGATGAATAGACAATATATAGCTTTATTAGGGAATATTTTTAGTGTTTGCAACATTAGTTTGTGGGCAATACAACATTTTTTTTTTCTCTCTTTATGTTCCCGTCTTTTCACAAGAAGACCATCAGGTTCTTGGAGATACAGTCATCCTGCACAGTGATACAGAGCTGTGGCCTGATGATGATATGTCTGTGTGTCTGTGTGTGTGTGTGTGTGTGTGTGTGTGTGTGTGGAGGAGGGGGTGATTGTGTTCACATTTGTTTCCGATTTTATTCATGTAAACAGGGGGGCTGTCAGACTCAGTGGGGCCTGTTTAAATTAAGGCCAGGCTGCTCTGCACACAGTGACTCTCTCGCTGTATGTTACATTACACATACTAGTTTATCATACTGAGAGCAGTGATGTATTTGCATAAATTACACAGAAATGCAGATTTTGTCCCAATTTCTGGTGGCTATGCAAAAGTTCACCCAAATATGAACATTTTGTCATCATTTAATCGCATGTGGAAAGACAAAACAACACCAAAAATGATACCATAAAAGTAGTCCATATGGCTTCTGCATTATATTCCATGTCTTCTCTAGTCATAAAATATCTTTGTGTGAGGAACAGATCAAAATATTAGTAATTATTTGCTAAAAGAAATCACCCCCTCCGTCACATTTGAAGATGGATTGAACAAGATTTGTTGTCGATGGGATCTGCTTAATGACAAGTAACATGGTACAGACTGCAGAAAACAATGTTATTCACATAATATATATCCCATAATTCCACTCTGCACTGTACACATGACTGAACTGCCCTCTGGGGAAGAGAATAGTTATTCTGTTCAGTTGAACACCGCATGCCATATCCAGTGCACAACAAGCCGATTGATTCATTGGTGTATGAAATGAACCACAGACATGTTTACTATCAATATCATTATGCAACCGAACTGCAAGAGCAGAAATCTGGTGTAAATGCTCTTTTCTAGCAGTTTTCAGAGTTATTTGCTAGGGCAGTCAGCATAAGGGCATGCTGGGATTGAGTTTGGAGGACTATATTGCAGCATTAAAATAAGTTCATTTTTCTCTCTTACATCCACACATAAAGAAACATGTCAACGTCAGCATGAAAGCCTCTGTAAACTCTCTTTGCTTTCACAATGTGACGTGTTTTTATGTGAAATTAAACTTGTGGGGCGGGACTTGATTTTATCCATTAACCTTAAAACACAAAAAGTCAAAATTCTGAGATAAAAAGTAGTAATTATGACAAATATTTATACAGTGCACAGCATAAATGAGTACACCCCCT